GTCCCCACTGGATGCAACAAATGCCTCGTTTATAATGGGTTTTAATGTTTTTGTCTCATCGCTTCGGCCTGACAGGGCATCATCACAGTATGGTAAGAGGCGTAACATTTCCGTCACACGCTTGAGGTATTCGGCCAATCACAACGCACTGGATAGCTGGCCAATCAGAGCACACCTCACTTTTCAGACCGATGAGCTTTGTAAAAATCGACGCGTTTCAGAAAGGCGGGGCATAGAGGAGAAACAATAATGTACAGTATGTGGAAAATAATGTGTTTTTTTAACCTTAAACCGCATAAACACATTTCATTACACCAAATACACAAAATAATGTTCTTTTTAGCAGCATCATATGACCCCTTTAAGGCCCGTTCACACCAAGAATGATAACAGACATCCACACCACAGCTATAACATTAACAAAACAGAGGAACGATACTGGAATCACATTCAAAACTGTTTTTGGTGATGAATCAAATAAAAACATTGACAGCCATTCAGAATCCACTGACTTTGAAGAGTTCAAACATTCAAAGCAGCAGATGACAAAACTGCAACATACGCTCATAATAAAAAGAACATTATAGTCCGTTGATGTGGATGACAGTTTTGTTATAGACAGTTATTGTTATCTTTATAGTTATCATTCTTGGTGTGAACTGACCGTTGCACAGATTATCCTGTAGTAAAATTTTTGCTATAGTCTGAAAGTATTTATTTACACTCTCTGTCAATTTAGTTTCATATTGGCTTGCAGTCCGATGTCCAGCTTCTTGCTGCAGTCTCACCATGTGATCAGAATTATAAGCGAGTGGTCAGAGGTGAGACTGAGGTATAACAGCTCCTTTCACGACTTGGCTCATAAAATGCTGTTCTCTGCGAACAATAAGACAGCACATAGTATGACACTTTGAGTGGTGTGTTCACTATTATGGAGCATTTGGTGCACATATGGACAAAGTATTAGAGATGATTCTCCGAAGGCGACGTATCCTTTAGGAGGGGACCTTGTCTGTGCTTATAATGGACTTGGATCAAAACTTCCTCTCGTTCTAGGATTTAGCCCAAACTCCCATGTGTCCTTGTATATGCTATGCTGGAGACTACTTTTGGCTCTCTCTTAAAGTTTCAGATTTCCATTCTGGTGTCCAAAGATGTGCTAATAATTTATATTAGACACATTTTTCTAGGGGGACTGATATAAAATGTGTTTTACAATAAATTAATCTTATGGGTGTTATAGTTGAGGTACTTGGTTGGTGTGTGAAAGCCTAGGGGTTCATCAAGGACCAGATTTTTTGTTCAGTTTTCATGATTTTAGTTTGAGAACCCATGGAGCTAGAAGAAAGGCTCAGCCAGCCAACCAAACAAACATGAGCTGAGAGAAAGGTGTGGAAAACCAGAAAATCTCTTTTTGGTTTTCTTAACTTATACTTCTGCATTCTGTTTCCCTGACCTCTATTTGCCCCTTTATATTTTCCAAACAATGCCTTTCAGCGGTTATATTTTGACATCCATTTTATAATGGACTTGGATCAAAACTTCCTCTCGTACTAGGATTTAGCCCAAACTCCCATGTGTCCTTGTAGATGCTATGCTGGAGACTACTTTTGGCTCTCTCTTAAAGTTTCAGATTTCCATTCTGCTGTCCAAAGATGTGCTAATAATTTATATTAGACACATTTTTCTAGGGGGACTGATATAAAATGTGTTTTACAATAAATTAATCTTATGGGTGTTATAGTTGAGGTACTTGGTTGGTGTGTGAAAGCCTAGGGGTTCATCAAGGACCAGATTTTTTGTTCAGTTTTCATGATTTTAGTTTGAGAACCCATGGAGCTAGAAGAAAGGCTCAGCCAGCCAACCAAACAAACATGAGCTGAGAGAAAGGTGTGGAAAACCAGAAAATCTCTTTTTGGTTTTCTTAACTTATACTTCTGCATTCTGTTTCCCTGACCTCTATTTGCCCCTTTATATTTTCCAAACAATGCCTTTCAGCGGTTATATTTTGACATCCATTTTTCATCACCCCGGTCTTACGTTTTTCACCGCTGACCAAAAAAGAAACAACAAAATAAGGACTGTTGAGCTTGCCAATAAATCAAGCATTAACAGTTAATTTAGCCTTTTCTACTAATTGAAATCGCCCCGAAGAAAAGATAAATCACACACAATATCTCACTTATTAATTCTGGACAGCAA